CCCTGCTTACCACTGCTCTTTTTCTGGGCTGGGGGGGGGGGTATACTTACAAAGTACTGAAATGCATTCGCTCATTAAGCTGATTAACTCCATTTTGGGCCAGACGCATTCTGGCCCATATGGAAAAGATGGTGTTGGATAGTGACATTTTGTGTTGAGCTATGCCAGCTTTAGTTTTTAATGAAGATGTTTTCCAAAATATGAAGTCACCTATTTAGGTGCTAACTGAGATGTGTGTGGGTATATTAATAATTGGAGGCATTATGTTGGGGACATGAAGTTAGGTAGTCCCTGGGTGGCAGATCTTAATAGCCACTTAATATCCGGACCTTAAATGTCCACTGATTTGTCCTGTAGTTTTTCATAGTAAGTTCTCCACTTCCAAATATAGAACTGAAATTTGACATGCTCATATTATTTGGATGATTACTGACAAATACAGTAATTAGAGAATTATCTTTGTCGCTTCCTTGCAAATTTCTCCTCAAATGTGATTTAGTATTTGCAATTATTAAGTCACCTTACAATCCCCTCTAGTCTACAGATCATCCTTACACTAGCGATTGGGACTGGAATTTCTGTTGTTAAATATGGTCATAAAGCACATCATGTGCTCTCATTCCTTAGCAACAAAAATCCCGACAGCCTCATTGTTAATTGAATCCCAATGGTCATTGGCTGAGGTCCCACTCCCATCCAAGCCACTCCCACCTTGATACCTCCCAGCCCCAAGTTACTCTTGGTAAGGAAGGGGTCCCCAACCCCCAGGCTGTGGCCTATTTGGAACCAGGCCATGCGAGAGGCAGGCTGGCACACATGCACATGTGCAGCTCCATTTGTGCGAGTGATGGGCTGGTGTGCATGTGCACTGGCCTGCCACTCGCGAGAGTGGAGCTGTGTATGCGCATGAGTGCCAGCCCATCGCTTGTATGGCCCAGTTCCTCTCTTCCCCCCCCCAAGCCAGATCACCAAGCCACAAAAGTTGGGGATTGTTGAAGTAAGGGATTGTCTACCTCTCCCCACACCTGCCTAACATCTCTCTCTCTCTGCCCTTTGGGTTGCCTTACACTCTGCTACCTCTATTGGCCATGCTAGTCTGTGCTTGCTTTCCAAATTGCATGCAACCTTCTTGCAAGGCTTTGGAAGGCAGGTATATGCAAGAAGGCCTCAGCTGAAAGAATGACTTGGCAAAAAGAAGACAATGAAGATCGGCAGGGGGCAGCAAGGCTGGCAGGGTCAGTGAGCACAGGAAGAAGAGACCTGCAGGGCTCAGCACACGATGGCTGAAAGGGGAAAAAATGAGGAGATATATTTAAGGGCAGGCAGGCTGCCAAGCACCTGCATATTAATCACATGACAGCAGGGGTACTGCAATAGCTGCAACTTTGGGGACTGGGCATAACTACCACTTATTCATCATCGTAATAATCTTAAAGGGTCACTGAGTGAATGGTCATCGATCAAGGACTCTGTATTCTGATGCAGATTGTCAGTTAAAATTAAAATAGTAATGGGGGACTTTAACTACCCTGACATCAACTGGGAGACAAACTCTGCACCAAGTAGAAGATCAAACAGATTCCTGACAAACTTAGCAGACAACTTTGTCTCCCAAAAAGTAGAGAAGGGAACTAGGGGATTAGCCATTTTGGATCTAATTCTCACTAACAGAGATGAAATGATAGGTGTTGAAACCATAGGAACCTTGAGAGGAAATGATCATGCAATATTGGAATTCAACATTATGGAAGCACAAGCACTAGAACACAATCAAACTAGAATTTTGGACTTCAAGAGAGCTAATTTCAATAAACTTAGAGAGGGTTTGGGAAGGATTCCATGGATGAGAATCCTCCAGGGGAAAACAACTCAAGAAGCTTGGAAAATTTTGAAAAGTGAGATAATAAAAGCCCAGTCTAGCACAAAGAAGAAAAATAACAGCTCTCAAAAGAAACCAGCATGGCGGCACAAAGAACTCTCTGATAAATTGAAAGATAAAAAGGACAGGTATAGAAAGTGGAAAGAGGGACACATAACTAAGTCAGAATATCAGCAAATAGCCCGAGCCTGCAAAGGTGAAGTGAAGAAAGCTAAGGCTCAAAATGAACTAAGGCTTGCGACTAAAGTCAAAAATAACAAAAAAAAAAGCTTCTTTCAACATGTAAAAAACAAGGAAAAAATGAAGGAAACAATTGGTCCATTAGTGGGGGAAAGTGGCAAGAAGGTGACAAGCAACAGGAAGAAAGCAGAACTATTTAACTCATTTTTTGCATCTGTCTTTACACAAAGGGAAAAAGCATACACAAAGGGAAAAAGCAGACTAACCTATCAAAAATAGTGCCATAAAAAACAGTATAGAAACACAAGTTAAGATAGGCAAGAAAATGGTAAGTGAGCACTTGTCCAGCCTAGACGAGTTCAAATCACCAGGACCAGATGGATTACATCCCAAGGTTCTCAAGGAACTGGCAGATGTGATCTCAGAACCACTGAACTATATTTTTCAAAAATCCTGGAGCACTGGGGAACTACCAGAGGACTGGAAAAGAGCTGATGTAATTCCCACCTTCAAAAAGGGGGAAAAAATGGATCCAGGAAATTACAGACTTATCAGCCTGACCTCAATACCTGGGAAGATTCTGGAAAAGATAATCAAACAATGAATCAGCGAATACCTACAGGCAAACAAAGTCATTACTAAAAGCCAACACGGATTTGTCAAAAACAGATCATGCCAGACAAACCTTATTGCATTCTTTGACCAAGTGACAAAATTAGTGGACCAGAGGAATGCTGTGGATATAATTTACTTGGACTTCAGTAAGGTATTTGACAAAGTAGATCACAACCTACTACTTGATAATGCGGGTTAGACAGTATCACCACCAGATGGATTCATAGCTGGCTGACCTGCCGTACTCAGCGTGTGCTCCTCAATGGAACCACATCTACATGGAGGGAAGTGTGTAGTGGGGTGCCCCGTGGCTCTGTTCTGGGCCCAGTGCTCTTCAACATCTTCATCAATGATTTGGACGAGGGGATAGATGGGGAACTCATCAAATTTGCAGATGACACCAAGCTGGCAGGAATAGCCAACACTCCAGAAGACAGGCTTAGGATACAGGAGGATCTGGACAGACTTGAACACTAGGCACCATCTAACAAAATGAAATTCAATGGTGAAAAAAGTAAGGTTCTACATTTAGCCAAGAAAAACCAAATGCACAGGGGGTACCTTGCTCAATAGTAGTAACTGTGAGAGGGACCTCGGAGTCCTAGTGGACAGTCATCTAAATATGAGCCAGCAGTGTGCTGCAGCTGCCAAAAAGGCCAACACATTGCTAGGCTGCATTAACAGAAGGATAGAATCAAGATCACGTGAAGTATTAATACCACTCTACAATGCCTTGGTAAGGCCACACTTGGAATACTGCATCCAGTTTTGGTCACCACGATGTAAAAAAGATGTTGAGAGTCTAGAAAGAGTACAGAGAAGAGCAACAAAGATGATTTGGGAACTGGAAGTTAAAACATATAAGGAAAGGTTGATGGAATTGGGTATGTCTAGTTTAATGAAGAGAAGGATGAGGGGGGACATGATAGCAGTGTTCCAATATCTCAGGGGCTGCCACAGAGAAGAGGGAGTCAAGCTATTCTCCAAAGCGCCTGAAGGCAGGACAAGAAGCAATGGATGGAAACTAATCAAAGAGAGAAGCAACCTAGAACTAAGGAGAAACTTCCTGACAGTTAGAACAATTAACCAGTGGAACAACCTGCCTCCAGAAGCGGTGAATGCTCCAACACTGGAAGTTTTTAAGAAGAAACTGGACAGCCATTTGTCCGAAATGGTATAGGATTACCTGCCTGAGCAGGGGGTTGGACTTGATGACCTCCAAGGTCCCTTCCAACTTTATTATTATTATTAGAGAGCACAAAACTAGTAAGTGCTACCTGCTTGTAAAATGTCTAGAGGATCAAATTTGCAACCACAATTGAGCCCAAAATCTGTTCTAAGTGAGACAATTGTTAAGTGAGTTTTGCCCCACCTTACAATCTTCCTTGCCACAGTTGTTACGTGACTCACTGCACTTGTTCAAGTTAGTAACATGGTTGTTAAGTGAATCTGGCTTCCCCCTTGACTTTGTTTGTCAGTTTGCAGGTGATCACATGACCGAGGGACACTGATCATGTGACTATGGGGATGCTGCAATGGTTGTAAGTGTGAAAAACAGTCATAAGCCACTTTTTCCAGTGCAACTGTAACTTTAAATAGTCACTAAACCAACTTGCAAGCCGAGGACTACCTGTATTTCTTGGGAGCATGGATCAGACAGAGAAGCTTTCTGCCCTCGTCAGTACAGGTTGTCTTCATTTAGTGGCTAGAATTAAGACTTGGTTGTTAAGTGAAGCAGTTGCTAAGTAAAACTGCAACTGAGTTTATTACCTCACTTCAGTTTTTCTGACCTAAAAATGCGAGGACTGGTCATAAAAGTTACTTTTTCATTATTGTGATAACTGCACACGGTCACCAATTGAGTCCCTAAACAAGGATTACCTGTTCAAGCAGTTATTATATAATATCACTATGACTTTTGAAGCTCAAGAACTTATAGACTTATGTGGTATTATGTTTGCTTCTACTTGATGACCCATTTTAAACTCATGACAAATCCCTCTTTAAAAATAATTTATACACAGTAATTACATATCTATAGTGTCAGCTTCTTTGCCTATTTATTGTTTCACTACAGTAACTGAGACTGTTATCCCAGAGCAGTTGTGCAATCATAATCTGCTCCAGTGCAATCAGTTGTATGGGAGCAAGCTTTTAGACATTGGGATAACTATGTCGTCATTTTTCCATGTTCCCCATGTTTTGGTGTTTAATATATTTTAAGGAAATTAAAATAATCTCCAAAATCATAAAGAAGTTTCAACTTTCCATTCCTGCTCAAATTTATACTATTGAATAAAAAGACAATCATGCACACATTATGAAATCAGTTCATGAAATATATTAAATGATTCAAATAAATAAAATAGGTAGTGATGAAGTAGTGTACATCTTAGAGAACTGTGCTAAAGGATCAAAGAGCATCAATCACACATTAATAAACAGATATTTAAGAAAGAAATTGTTTCAATCAATCCTGTGCCAGACAAATGTCATGACCTCAGGTCTTAACTTTCCAGAGGCTGTGGTCCACAATACGGTGGAAGAATCATCCTTCCTTCTAACATATACTGTAAAAAGTGTGTATGCTAAAGGGTCTGCATTGAATCTGCATTCACCTGAGTATCAACTGTGCTATTTCTGATGAAGCTCAAAAATTGCCATGGAGGTGGGTCACAGTTTCTGGTTTAAGGTATGACATGGGACTTTGACAGAATGGAAGCTATTTGGTCTTGCTGATAGTCACATGTTTTTCTGAATTAAATATGGAAGGATCCATTTCGGTGTAAAACAATCCTCCCCAAACTCATCATCTGGATCACATTCACCTGCTTTTTCTCCTTCTTAAAAACATTAGAAACCTAACCAAACTAATATATATATATATACATATATATATATATATATATATATATATATATATATATATATATTGCAACATTTTTGAAGACTCAAACTTCAAATACCCAACTGTGGGGTTTTAACTGCTCTAAGAATTTTGCTCTTTCCTTTTAAGAGACACTAGACTTTGCAAGCTATCCTAAAACTTCAAGCTGTCCTTCAAGTAACATATAACATGTTATTCACCAACTGTATTTTTATCTTCTTTCTTCTCATTACTTCATCCTTCTATTCTAAACTCTTCACCTCTCCCATCTGACAAACTTCCCCCTTCCCCCAAACAAGGAAAAAGCCAAGTTTCAATCTCATAGAAGCAAGTGAAATACAAGGGTACTAATTCACCTTTCACATATCCACCAAATGACATAGTACAAACAGAATACAGATTCAAGGAAACACTGTACAGAGGATGAAGTAAAATACCACAATTATCCCATCCCAGCAAAGCTATCGCTTAGCCTATTCACTCACTAGACCCCACATTCTTCCTTAGTCCACCAGCTACCCACTAGTGCGTGATGCATCTTCATTGGGATGGAGTTCATTCTCAAAATGTTTATCCATGCAGATATGCTTCAAGCCAGGCATCTCCAGAGACCTTAAGAGATCTGTAAGACAGTGTACAGTTCTTTCATTATACAGAGAGGGGACACAGAGATGTATCACAATATGCGCCTTCCCAATCTTTCAATATCTTTGTTACCCCCTTACATTTTTTTGATTGCCACCTCTGTGCACATTGATCTGTATACATGGAGAGTCTTTTCCCACTGCAATTGGATGAGGGAAAATTTCCACTCGTGGCACAATGATTGCTTCCCAAATGTGAAGGAACAGGCATTCTGACCATCATTTCCCAAGGACAATTCTAGTTTTGCCCTGATCTTACCTAACCACTAAGGTAATGTGAGAATATATGTTGTTTTTCATTCCCATCAGAAGCATAGCTGGAGGATGCAAAGAACCAAATTCCAAATTCTGGAATTTCTTGTTCTGGTAAGTCATTTGTTTTAAATCATGCTTTAAAGATGATTTGTTACAATAAGACTTCAAGATCATATAGCCATTACTATTTAATTGATTTATGGTGCTATTATCAGGTATCTACTGCCTAGCAAAACTCCAGATTTCAAGAAGTTGCCTTTATTATGAACCTCACAATAAAACATGGGCCAGGTGTCCTTGATCTGTCCCCACTATATAGACCAGGGGTAGTCAACCTTTTTATACCTACCGCCCACTTTTGTATCTGTTAGTAGTAAAATTTTCTAACTGCCCATCGGATCCATAGTAATGGTGATTTATAAAGTAGGGAAGTAACTTTATAAAATTTATAAAACAGAGTTACAGCAAGTTAAAGCACATAATAACAATTATTTACCAAATACTTTATGTTGGACTTTTGCTAAGTTTAGCAGAATAAATCTTTATAAAGCAACTTACTGTAGTTAAATCTATCTTTTTAGTTATACTTTGCGTACACAGAAGCATAAGTCTGATGAAATTACATTTAATTAATTAAATTATTAATGAGATCCCTGAGGCTGATGCTGCGAAACTAAATACTGGATATCTGGCTCAATTTTTGTAAGGAACAAACGAAGATCTCCTCTTTCGGAAATATTCAGGCGGTTTCTTTCTTTGGTCATAATATGATTAACAGCACTAAAGCCTGATTCCACAAGATATGAGGTAGAGAAAGGTATCAATAAACTGAATATCATTTTCCACATATTTGGATATAAGACAGGCATTTTTTTACTTTGCCATAGGTTTTCATATCAAATTTATGTTTACTTTCTTCATCATATCTAATTTCTAACAGTTCTTCTTGGCAAGTTGTATCAGCCTCTTCAATATTTGCGGTAAAAGGATTTTTCATCCAGTCATACACCTTCAATTTCAAAATATCTTCAAATCGTTTTTCCATATCCAATTTAAGTTCATTGAGGTGGCTATTGAATCTGTCAATATCCTCTGGAGTTACATCATCTTTTATAGATGATAATTCAGGAAACCGATGAAATTCTCTCTTCAATAGATTATAACGTAATAGTTCAAGTTTGTCAATAAATAATGATACAATACTTTGGCAACCTATAAGAGTTTTATTAGCTCCTTGAAGCTGCAAATTGAGATCATGAAATCTCTTGAAAATATTTGCCAAATAAAAGGCATCATTTTTTACTGTTTTTAACTGTCGACACAGATTGGTCTCATTATTACTTTCAAAAAATTGTATGACACTATCATATAATGCTACAAAACGAGCCAAAGATGTACCCTTTGACAGCCACCGAACTTCTGTGTGCAAAAGTAACGTAATAAAATCTTCATTATTGTCCTGGCAAAGCTGTCCAAACATTCTATCATTTTTTGAATTGTATTTGATCTTGTTTATGGCTCGAATTATTATAGTTAATGATGAATGGAGACTTGTACTTAGATGTTTTCCTACAAGATGTTGTCTGTGCACCACACAATGAATACATAAAACATTTGGCACTTCTTCCTTCAAATAAGCAACAAATCCACGATAGCGACCTACCATTGATGGTGCTCCATCAGTAGCGCATGCAACAATATTATTCAAAGGAATATTATTTTTTGTAAAGTATGATTTCACAGTATTAAAAAGAGATAATCCTCTTGTATCTGTAATGAGATTTATTGCGAATAGCATTTCTTCTCGTAATGTATTGTTTTCATCAAAATAACGTACATATGTCATCAATAAAGCATTATTATCTGCAATGGTAGACTCGTCCAATTGCATGGAAAATGAAGAGTTTTGGAGAATACTTATCAGTTTTTTTTCAACATTAACTGTCATTTCTTCAATTCGTTGCTTTACTGTGCTATCGCTTAGGGGCAACGTTTTTAAAATTTCAGGTATATCCTGATGCATTACTGTTGAGATAAATTCTTTTATAGAGGGTATTATTACAGTTTCTCCAATATTATAGCTTTTACCACTTTTTGCAATTAATTGTGAAATGCAATAAGCGGCAATTAATCCATCTTCGTTCGCTGCATGTTGTTTCTTAAATGATGCAACGATTGTTGAATGATTTTGAAATTTTTTATATATTTCCTGAAAATATTCAGTGGGCTTGTTCTTATCATTTGGATGCTTTGTAGAAAGATGTTCTCGCAATCGACTTGACTTCATTGCCTCATTGGATAATGTTTTATGACACAATAAACACATTGGATGTTGTTTATTTACAACAGATTCTATGAAACCCATCTTCAGATACTCTGGCAAATAGCCATGAGCGTATTTCTTTTTTTGAGACATGGACTCACAATATTTTGTTTGAGGCTGTAGGCACGTGCTCACTCTCACAAATCTAACTGTGTACTGACCAGTGCGACCACAAACAAAAGACCCTGCGCCATGTATCATCGTCTGCGCATGCCTCTCATGCATCGTGGATTGGGTTTGGGGGAGCGCCGGCTACCAGCTCTGCTTGTCTGTTACAGCTGGGTGGTGTGTGGGGAGATGCGCGAGCTATTCTGAAACAAGGCTCTTTTTGCAGTCGCACTATAGCGCCATTTAGTTTCACTTACGTAACGTGAACTAAACTTATGCGCGGGCGATACAAATAGTATATTTTCAGAAATTTAAATTGTCACGGGGAATTTTATGAAAACCTAATGAAAACGTTTTTAAATAATGCTATGAATTTTTTTTAAAAGTCAATTAAATAAAAAAAAAGGAAAGTGTTTCAGTATCGGACAAAACCCCTACCGCCCACCATGAAAGCTGGAACGCCCACTAGTGGGCAGTAGGGACCAGGTTGACTACCACTGAATAGACCATGTCCTTGAGACATCAATTTAGCTTTGATCAGTTATCTGTTTAGCTACTTCAGCTGATTAACTGTTTACCCGAGCCAATTACTCTGTTTTTGATCATAAAATTCTTGCCATATTTACCGCGGAATGTCTCCAAAGGCTGTAAGGAGGGGCTTGCTCTGATAGGGAATACCATACTTGGCACAGAGGGATTTCACAAGAGGAGCCACTTTACTATAGTTGTGGCGAGGCATTGTGGGGAAAAGGCTGTAGAAAAATAAAAAAGTAAGTTTGTTTTTTTAAAAAATAAAGTTGATTAAAAGATTTAAAGACAACATAAGAACTAAACACAAACTAATAAAGAAAAAAGAAAGAAAAAGAAAGAAGAGCTCCCAATTTCTTTTGCAGCAAATATAGGTACAATTTCACAACACTACAAAGAAGTCATTTTTTTAATTATCCAATTTTTTTTCTAATAATCAAAACCACAAATCATAATGCATTTCTCCCATTTTATGCAAAAGATCTATAAGAGGTTTCCAGTCAGCCATAAATGTAGATGCTGTGGTTTTTTTTCCTAATTAATGAAGTTAATTTAGCCTATCTCCACAGGTTTCATCATCTTCATCAGCCTTTCATCCACAGTGGGTAGTGACTAGCCTTTCAATTTTGGGGCATATAATAATCTCATTGCTGTTGTCAAATATCTGACAAAATGCACTAACTAAAACCTCTCTAGGGATATTCCTCCATATACCACATCTGTAATTTATTCTATAAATTTTATTTATTTCTGCCTCCCTATTGTCCTCTTCCAGATCCATAAAAAATGTGAAAACTTGAAGTTATTCTGTAATATTTTCACTGGAATGTCCGGATAGCTAAAAATCTTAAACAGAATTCTTTCTCTCTTAATTCCATTAGACAAATTATTCAATTTGTTTGTGTTGAACTTTTGATTGTCTAAAATTTCCACTTAGTTATTAATCTGTTTTATATCTCCATATATTTTTAACACCAGCTTTCATCTCCTAACTTTAGAAAAATTTCATCCATTTTTTTCAAAAGCATCCATTTTATTTCCCATCTGATAAAATGTATTCTCTGTTGAAAAAAATTCTGAAGTATATTTTCTGTAGTTGCTGGCTGTTCTAGTGCACCCCTTCTGCCCTTTGTTGCCATTTTTCTAGTAGCCATTTTTTCAGAAAATGTCCCAAGCAGATAAAATAAAGAGACAAACCATTTTGTCTTTTCCCCCTTTGTTTTTCCTTCCTTTATTTTCTTCTTTCAGCCATTTTCATTTCAACCACAACAAACATCATATTGGCAACTTAACCTCTTAGTCTGTGTCTTTACCTTATATTTTGTTCTGTAGAATCCCCCAACTCTATGCATTCTTTAAAGATAGCAAACATTCATGTGCCAAGCTATTCTCCTTAACTGACTTAGTGGAGAATGTATTAAAGCACTTTCATCAAAAATAAAAATAAGATTTTTTTTTAAAAAAGATTGTGTTTTTGTCCACTTAAAAACTTTCTTACATCTTTGCTTAATTAAGCTTCTTGCAAATAGTTCTTGAACATTTAAATAAAAATCTGCCTTGGTTTTTTAATAATCTCAAATGAAGATTAAACACACTGCAAGGAGTTTTATCTTTGCCAGAGACATTTATAATTAATTATAAAGTAATGTTACCTTAAGGATTTTACTTACTGGTGTTCAATCTGGAAATTCAGATGACCAGTGAACCAGTCATTGAAAAATGACTGATCCACATTGCATGTTGCGTGGAGCTGAGGAAAACAAAGAAATAATATTTTTTCCTTGTTTCACAAACTTATACAATATTTCCATTCTGAAACCATACTAATTTTTATTCCAGTGGAACATCTGAGCAAAATAACTAACTGGAGATCTGGATCTGTTTTATCTCTCACTAGCATTATTTGGTTCCACAAAAGCTAGGTCTGTATTTTGCTATTATTTGCATTTATTCATTTACTTAAAATATTTTACCGCCCCCCAGCTTACCAGATTGCATGAATTGAATTATATTGGGACAATATAAGATTCAAACCTTTCTCCTACCCACAATTTGGCATCAGTTTCCCAAATTATTCTATGCTCAGTCTCGAAAATCAACGCTTTGAACAAGAGGAAATAGACTTACCTGGGTAGATACCCAGTCCATGTTTGTGTCATAGTCAATATTCATTGGAATGTGATTCATTTGTGAAACCCAGATAAACCAAGCTGCTTCCAGAAATCTGCAAAATCCAATATAGTGTCAAATTATTTTTTTTTTGCTAGGCACCCTTTCAAATAGTACTACAGAAGTAGTTGAACATTGACTTCCGCTTCTGGTTCACGGCAGGCTCAGCCATACGAAGAGCTGTCGCTCTTTTCTCTGCCGGTAGACCCTTATGCAGGTCTTAAATCGCCCTGGAGGGGCGACACCGTCGAGGAGGCTTTTGCTCAGCTGTGGTGGAGCTGCGGCTCCCCCTGCAGGCCGAGCTAACTCTGTAGGGCCGACGGAGAAGAAGATCGGCCAGTAAAATGGCCGATCACTTTGCTGTACCAGCTGAAGTCAGAAAATGATCTAAGCATAAAGAACCACCGTGGTGAATCCAGGTGATACCTTTCCTCCTCTCTCTGTCCTGACTATTTGCCTGTTAAAAGTTTTTTGATCACTTCCCTGGCTTAAGAGAGCAGCTTTTGTCTATTTGGGAAAGAAAGCTTTAAAAGAACTAAAATAGTTAAAGCTTTATTGACTACTTTATTTTTTTGGATACTTAGGGGCTCTGAAAAAAATAAAAAATAAATGTTATATTTCTTTTTACCTCATCTATTATACTAGAGATACCTTTCTATTTCCCAAAAGAGATACTTTTTTAAAAAACAAATTTTATTGTTTTTTTAATTCTTAAGACAAAGTGCTCGAGACATACCGTGGTGCTGGGGTAATCAAAAATCCAAAGACAAAACATATACAAATAATTCGAACAGTACATCAAATATTCCCTCTCTATTTCCCTCAAATAGCTTAATATATTTAAAATAATTTATTTCTAACTTAAATTTCTATTTATCCTAAACCTGTTTTAGAGCTTTGTACAATTACAATACCATAATCAAATTTAACTTTAAATAACCACATTATCAATTCAGGTATCCCTTCCAAATACATCCTAATTCCTTAATTTTATCATAAATCTTATTTATTTCTTCTTCCACTACTATCTCCCGATTAAAATAAAATATTGATCTATCCTATACATGTCTAATCCATCCATCAATCAATTTCTTTAAACTGACAAAGTAATATCAACCTTAAATCATTTAAATCCATTAGACAAGGTTCTGATTTCAAACATAATAACGTCCATATTATCAAACACCTCATCTTATTAAAATAACATTCAATTAATTATTAGTTCAATCCCAATCTAAAACACCTCTTCAGTTTTCTTCATTCCATTACATAATAATTTTCATACAAATAAACCTATAATTCCCAAAAATACATTCTTACTCTGTTTAATATATATATTCTAATAATCACTCATTTTTCTTACTTCTAACTCAAAAACTTAGTTCTTAAATCAATCCATAGTTCTAAAATGCCTTAAATCCAGTTATAATTTTAAGTTTCTCTTTTCAATATTATTCTAGGCTTCTTTTTATGCCAAGCAGGTTTCCACAACAGAGCTTCTCTTTCAGCTGCTGGGTCTCTCTTTGTTGCTTGTAGTAGCATTTGAGACAGTAAGAAGCCTCCTGTCTTCCGCGTTGGACCTGTTTCTCTTATCCTTGGTGCCTCGCTGTTTTATAGGTTTAAATCTCAATCTTTGCTTTTTCTGATCATCAAAAATATAAATAAGATGCTTGTAAGGTAAAATAAGTTCCTCTATAGTCTCAATGAAGTCATCTTTTAGTATATTTTGGTTTGGAGAATAGTCAAATGTTGTCTAAGAGTCAGTTTTAAGATTTGAAGGAGAGTTTCTAGCTCTTAGTTCTGTAGTAATCTCTTTCATTGTAGCAAATTCCTCTTTAATCTCCCTTAGTTCCTCTTCTGGTATGTTTTGGTTTGTAGAATAATCAAATGTGTTCTGAAAGTCAGTTTGAGAGATTGGGGTAGAACTGGCTCTTTGTTCTGTAGTAATCCCTTTCCTTATGGCACATATTTCTTCCGTAACCTCATAAATCTTTTCCAATATGAGCTTGCAATTTAAGTGAGAGTAAATGTTCTCCATTTTAAAAGTGATTATAGAAGATCCTTTCTTTCTTTATTATTTTTAATGCAAACTATAGTTAAACAGTGTCTACCCCCTCAGTTCCCACAGCTGCATCAGCTTATCTTTTCCAGGAATAGTTTGAAGGTCAGGTCCTTCTCTCCAAAGAATAATAAGAATAATCCACAGATGCAATATTAACTTTTCACCACTAGATGTCCTCAATAAGTAAAAAAACTTTTCCAGACACCTGTTTTTTTCCCTTTTTCTATCTTTTAAAGGAAAGAGTGGAGAAAGAAATAATCTTCCAATATAAAATAATAATACAGTTCAAAAAAGCATTTTTTTCTGTATCCCAAGATGAATGAATGTAAAATGTAGTCTTTAAAATTTTTTGTTCTCAGCGCCTTTCTTCCCACACATACAAAAACTGCTTTTTCCAAATGGGGAAATAATTCCAACTAAGCTTTTACAGGCAATAAAAAAACCCAAATAGGGCAAAGAGAGGGGCAAAGGTCTCACCCGGATCCTTCGCGGTGGGTCTAATACGCTTAGCTGTAATTGTGACTTCGGCTGATGCAGCAGGGTAATCGGCCATCTTGCAGGATGATCTTTGCTCTGTTGGCCCTAAGGAATTAGCAAGCCTCCTCCTCAGTGGTCGCCCCTCCAGGGTGACTTTCCACCCACTAGGGGGTCTACCGATGAAGAAAACCCAGCCGGACTGGAGACGAATCCCCAGACACAACTAGTGTCGCTGCGTACTGGAACCGGAAGTCCCGAAAGAGAGAAATTATCTATCTGGAAGAAAGAGTTTACAGTCCACTGTACTTTCCTTTGAAATGGAGGAATCTTATCCACAGCTTGATTATGAACTTATACTGAAAAAGATTTTGGAAACTACAAATTATATGAAAACTTATATTAAATCTTGGAGAAAAATCAGGGAACTACAAATTGACTATCAACCATCGGCTCAAACTATAGACCAAAGAATAACGGAGGAAGAACAGAATAACCCTAGAGAGGTTCCTACTCAACAAAATACACAACTGAATGAGGCAGAGGAACTGTACTTACAATTTAATCATGCATTTACATCAGGAAGAACTGTTGAAACTACTGAGCAAATTAATTCTATACAATCCTACTCATGACCTATGGAGAACATTGATGATCAAAGAATAACATTAACTGAGCTATTTGAAATAACAGAGCTTGACAGTCAGCTACAAGTTATTAAAATTGTGATAATGTGGACAATCAACTAGCAACTACAATAAAGAATAAAATTGACTATACTATTCAGATGATATTGGAAGAAAGAGGAGAGAACTTTGACTATTTTGATGTATTGGGAAATAGCTCTACTCAAATGTTGATGTTTGATGATACAGAGGTTTTATTATGGAAACCAGCTTGGTATAGAAAGCTAAAATGTGACTTAAAATTCCACTGAATGGGTTAAAAAGATTGTTGATGTTTGGATTGTTTTAATAACAAATGAAATAGGTGATTTTCTAAAAGGATATTTTTTTGTAACAATATTGGGTATTAGAGATGATAAGTAGTTGGAGGGGTAAATGTTACTTAATTGATTGATAGAATATATATTTAAAATAGACAGAAATGTGTTCTTTTGGACTGATATCTTCATTTAACCAAGATAACTATTTTGTAATAGAGGGAGAAGAGGAGGTATTTGTGATAAGAGAAGTAATAGGATTAATAAATGATGTATTAGTTTAAGCAATAGGTTATATAAAAAAAATGTAAGGATGTTGTTATTTGGGGTAATATATTTACTTTAGATAGAATCATTATGATAGGGAAAAGAGAAATGAGGGATGGCCGAAGTGCTAATATAAGCTTAATTGGAATATGGTAATTTTCAAAATAGTAAAGCTTAAAAACAGGATTTGGATTCTTATAATTAAAATGTGATTGATTGATTGGATTGAGCTTTTTTTTTTTTTTTTACAAATGTAATAATTTTAATTGGTAAAATAGTATGTGGGAAACAGAGAGGGAACTTCCAAGGAATTAATTTGTGTGATATATGTATGATTTTGTTTTAGGATAATTGATAGCCCAATCACCATGTTGTTTCTCAAGCACTTTTATGTAAAAATGGAAAAACCAATAAAATTTATTCATAAAAAAAGTAGTTGAACATTAAAGATGGAATGAAAGCAGTTTGTTATAATGAATACACATAAATTGTATGTTTGACTTTCCAAAATTTTTCAGTAAAGCTACTGAGCAATGTGCCCCTTGGAGTAAGATGTTCATCTGTCACCAGGGAGTCAGATGTCATCCATACATTGATAGTACTCCGCTGAATATTTTCATCCTTGACTGGCTGAATGACGTTGTCAAGATGTTCTCCCATTGCCTACAGGCTGTGGAAGTTTCAGGGGGGGGGGCAGAGTTAACCTCAACCCTAAAATGGTTGTGGATACATGGACTAATTCTGGGGATTTTCTGCCTGAGGTTCTGAATGGAGCTGAACTTCTCCAGATGTAACTAGTATACAATTTGGTGGGTATCCTGGACACTCAGCTCCTGCACAAAGAACAAGTTGTTAGTTGTTCTTTGTTGTTAGACTAGGAAGGCTTTTACACAGGTTTATCTTGTATACCAATTATGCCCATTTCTGCACCAGGAAGGCCTTCTCATAGTTATTTATGCCATAGCTGTCCTTGAAAACCACTTGGAAGTTTCCAATGGTACAAAATGTGGTCATATGGCACTTCTGTTTCATGGGTGGTATTTTATCAGTAGTTGATGATAATTATTTAATACAAAATTAAAGTTGGTGTTACCTGCTCAGCCAGTAGAATGCCATAAAAGTTTTAAATTCCATAATGGGTAAGTAGATAAGGATGACTCTGATCTGGTAAATGATAATCAAGGCTAGATCCTATTTCAGAAGAAACAGAGAAAAGATAGTATTTTCTATAAGTAATTCTATGCTACAATATTTCATATAAAATAAGCTCCCACTAGCAGGATAGGCTTTTGGAGAATGGGGAATAGGCAAAATAGTCCACACATGAACTATTTCACTCCAAGCATGGATGTAAATACAGCTGACTGGGGCAGAGTTGGCCAGTGGACATACCATGCTAGATCAGCTGCCCATCAGCCAAGGGAGAAAAATATGCTGGAAGTGGGAGGACAATGAGATGAAAAACACCAGCCCCCTCTCCCCCCAAACACTTGTCCTATCCAGATTTTGTTTCATCTGAAACTGGGAGTAACCAAAGTATTCTAGGTTTCTGTCAAACTGGAGCTGATCAAAGTAGCTGAACAGAATTTCCAAAACATGGTGACATGTAGAAGGTCTGAAACAAAACATGCTTTCCTCATTTGTGTATATCCCTAGGTAGGCATACTTACCACCCATTCTTTGCGTTTTATGGTAGAGTGGTATATGGAGACTTGGAAGAAGGGAACAATTAAAAGCGGTGCCACTACTGTTAAAGGAAAAGAAATATGCATCTCTTTAAAAACACGCATACTTGCTCTTCTGCCTTATTTCTTCTGACCAACTTATAATTGTTATATTGCATCCTATACTTTCTCCTTATTTGGTTTATACTTCTGGTCGTATTTCAGAACTATGTTCTTTTCATAGTTCAATTTAATGAATTCAAAAACTAATGTTTCAGTAGGCAATAAAGTACTTATTACTATATCTTCTCTCAAGCTTATCTTTTCCTGTTGTGATAATTCAACATCTTTAATTTCTCATATCAAATCAATCTTCATAAATCAGCATATAATTTGTCATCTTCTTACTCTCCATTTCTGATGTTACCTTTTGTCTTTATTTCCAAATTCTTATGACACGACACTATCAATTCTCATTTTCATCTTGGATCCCAACATATAAGTTTTCTCTGGTTATCTTATAGCTTTTGATTTGCAAATTCACTATTTTAGATGCTGGAACCTATAGCTCCGGTCTACAAATCAGGAGAGGCAGTGCAGTTACTGTAAATAATGGATATGTAGTATTTTTCTGTGACAGAGGTACTTACAGAAGAAGTACTTGTGTTGGTAATTGTAAGGCATGAACTTCTTTTTCTGCAATCCAAGCTATGAAGAAAGGAACATTAGCAGTTCATTCAAGCAACAGAGATTTATTTCCTCATGCTCCTTTCATAATTTATGTTAGTGTGACCCATGGACTGTGGGCAGCTGCCTAATGTGAGCAGGGCCAAAATGTTCAGATGTTGCGTGTTTGGAGGGGTAAAATGGATGCCTTAAATGTTGCAGAGGTTTACTGCACTTTTAAGACAACCTTTTTCTAAGTAATAAAGCTAAAATATTATTTTTGCTCCTAAAATCTTCCTAAGTCCACAATCTCATATTTTGTCTCTTGGAATGATACAACAGAGCCATCTGCTATGACTCCTGAAGCCTTCAGGCCAGGCAGTTACCTTGAATTGCACCCAGCCTACTGGAAGCCAGTATAGCTCATATAGCAATGATGCAATGCGAACCTACTGCTATTGTACCCATTGCTGCCTGTGCCACTACATTCTCTGAATCAGCTGCAACTAAGACAAATGAAGGTAGAATGGGTAACTTATATCCTACTAAGACTGAGTGGCTGTGGGTGTGTGCACTGCCCAGATCTGGAAATAATATTGCACTTTTTATCTTGTTTGGGGTATCATCTTACCCTTCATGGTTAGGATGCAATCTGAAGGTCTACCTGGACTTGGAGCTCCTGATCAAACAGCAGGTGCCAGCTGTGGCTAGGAAGGTCTTTGGAAAACTCCATTTGAGGCACCAATTGTGCTATTTCTTAAATCGGGGTGGTGGTGGGGGGAAGAACCTTCAGACAGTCACTTATGCCCTAGTCATTTCATAGCCTGACTACTCCAAAGCTATCTACATGGTGCTGCCGTTTAAGAATAGAGAAGATACTCCTTTAAGGCTCCTCAGCTGGCAGTTTTAATAATAATAATAATAAAGTTGGAAGGGACCTTGAAGGTCATCGAGTCCAACCCCCTGCCCAGACAGGAAACCCTACACCATTTTGGACAAATGGCTGTCCAGTCTCTTCTTAAAACTTCCAGTGTTGGAGCATTCACCGCTTCTGGAGGCAGGTTGTTCCACTGGTTAATTGTTCTAACTGTCAGGAAGTTTCTCAGTTCTAGGTTGCTTCTCTCCTTGATTAGTTTCCATCCATTGCTTCTTGTCCTGCCTTCAGGGACTTTGAAGAATAGCTTGACTCCCTCTTCTTTGTGGCAGCCCCTGAGATATTGGAACACTGCTATTATGTCCCCCCTCGTCCTTTTCTTCATTAAACTAGACATAACTAATTCCAGCAACCGTTCCTTATGTTTTAGCCTCCAATCCTCTTTGTTGCTCTTCTCTGTACTCTTTCTAGACTCTCAACATCTTTTTTACATTGTGGTGACCAAAACTGGATGCAGTATTCCAAGTGTGGCATTACCAAGGCATTGTAAAGTGGTATTAACACTTCATGTGATCTTGATTCTATCCCTGTTAATGCAGCCCAGCACTGTGTTGGCTTTTTTGGCAGCTGCAGCACACTGCTGGCTCATATTTAAGTGATTGTCCACTAGGAGTCCGAGGTCCCTCTCAGTTACTACTATAGTATAGGTACCCTGTATACTATACCTGTACATTTGATTTTTCTTGCCTAAATATAGAACCTTACTTTTTTCACCATTGAATTTCATTTTGTTAGATAGCACCGTGTTCAGTGATCCAGAATGTGGCAGCATAAGCAGTAATGGGCTTGCCTTGGTATGCCCATGTAACACCTCTGCTTTGCAAGCTGCACTGCTTGCTGGTTTGCTTCTGAGTGTGATTCAAAGTGCTGGTTATTACCTATAAAGCCCTACATAGCATAAGGCCTGGCTACCTGAGGGACCACCTGTCTCCTATAATATCTGCCCAGTCAATTTGGCATGTTCCAGGTTCCTTCAAATAAGCAATGTCACTTTTCAGAACTCTGGAAGTCTGTCTTCTCTGTAGCAGAGGTTGCCTTCTGGAATGGGGCTTCCCCTCAAGATATGGATGGCCCCTACTCTGCTGTTGCTAAGAAGGGTTATTGATGATGTGGCTCTTTACCCAGGCCTTCGGTGAGGGAGACCTCTCACTTCATTGCACTTGACATTTTTATCTTTATTTTATTGTTTTATTTATTTTACTGTAATTTGTTGGAATATTGTGAGCTGCCCAGAGTCCTTGAGAATTAGGTGGCATAGAAGTTTAATACCTCATGAACACGATCATCATGAAGAGAGACAAAAAAGACAGATTTGTAACTAAAAGTTGCAGCCTTATGCACGCAATATCTCAAACTCTATCTTTGTGACCAATCCTTGCATTTACAACTTTTGCAGGTCTATAAAGCAAAGGAAAACTGAAGCAAGATCATAAGCACGACTTCAGTTTTACTTAGTGACCATTCTGTTTAACAATCAGGTGGCTGGCTCCAATAGTGGTCACTAAACAAAGACTACCTACAAATATTAAAACCTAAAGGAAAGCTGAAGTAAGATCCTAAATACAGTTGTGGTCTCACTTAGCAACCAATTGTGGTTGCTAAATGAGGACTACCCGTAACAATAAATAAAAAAAGACCCAGTAAAAGTAAATCAAACAAATTAGGTTTAAAAGAAAAAGTAAAAACAACAAAATGGTTTAGCAAATAGAAAACACAGATAATGAAGATTTATTGCCTTCGGTGACTTCTATTGGCTCTTCTAAAGTTGCTTTTCAACAATGTGCCTTCCACAAATGTACCTCTCTAGCTAGTTTCTTCCCTAGGGCAAACGCAATGGGATGCATGTTGAGATCGGGATCTTTACGAAAGCAGTTCGGTTTGGCATGATGCTGGAAATGCAAATTATTCCACCAACCAGCTGGAAATCCCTAGAAGAAAGGAGATGGAAGAACAAAGCAGACGTTAACCTCGTAGGATGACAAAAAGGAAAGCTTCCCTAAAGGTCAGGACACTTACTTTCAGTAGACTCAAGACGATCCTATGGGCAAGATGGTTCAACTTGGATGTTTTAAAGACTGAAAGATGACCCAAATCATGTTGGAGCCAGGACAATTGGACCTGAAAAAAAATACTTTTTAAAAAATGAAGTTAATTTCATATCCTGTACAATTCAGAACTAAATCAATACATTAAACACATTTCAGGGAGATATTCATGTTAAATAAAATAAGATTTTGTAAACCTGCAATCTTTAATCTGTTGAAAAGAGATCTGGAACCTAATCGGCCCCTGTCTAGGGATTGCATTTGGACCATGGACTGTCTATTTAACGGCCAGGATTGCTGTCACTAAGGGATGTAGTCACATGACATTGCATTTTACAATTGAATCACTTTACGAATGGAAATTCCGGACCCATTTAGCAAAGTTAATCAACTTCTAATTTGATTTTGACTTCAAAACAGTAACCAGGTGCCAACTATATTGCCGTTAAATTGCAAAGCTGTATGAAAATATCCCAGATGCTAAGACTTTATGTCATGTGACATAAAGAATAATGCTGCTGCAGTACAAAAAACTCCCTCCCAAATCTAGTGTTATTGCAGTTATTTATCTTGTGTCTCACTTTAGTGAAATGTGTGAAATACTTTAAATCCTTTAAGAAATATATAGAAAAAGATATTAATTCTTATTACATGACAAGGTCCATACCATACCTGAGCAATAGTAAAAAATGCAACACCCGTGAAGAATGATATTGAAGATGTGCCAAAATACCAGGCTGTCAACCAAGCACTGATATCGAACAATATAATATGAAGAAAAATCAGACCGAAAAACAAGAGATTTGGTGTCAGAAGTCCCATTTTTTCAATGGTGGACCGCAACTCCCTGAAGTCTTTGGCAAGCAATTGCTGTGGAAAACCCAACAAGTAGTCATTCCAGTTGAAAAAAATCACTTCGTCCCATAATCATATATTACATGGCTGCAAATAATAATATGAAATGTCAGCTACAAAATGTGATTCCCCAGGCTTTTAATTTGTATTGTTTTAGATTTTGACAACCACCTTGATGCTGCCTAGTTTGTATGGTATTTTTATTTCATTTTGTATTGTATTATATTATACTGCATTGTATATAATTACTACTCCCAGAATTCAGAGCCACAACCCAAGAAATACTGGATAGTACCTAGTTGCAGAAAGCCAAGGCAAATAATTTGACTGCAGTCTTACTCGGTTCTCATTCCTCTTATTTAATCTTTAAAAACAGGTCATCACATAGAAAGTACTCAGTGACAGAGTTTATTTATATAGCCACCCATCTCACACAAATGACTTTGGATGGCTTACAGGATTAAAAACAAACAACATCCCCAAACATAACTCTCTCCCCTGCTCAAGGATGAATGGTTAACTGTTAACCATCAATAGCAGCTCAGCTCATCTTCCCTCTGATCTAAATATCTTTGGGAACAGCCAGGTCTTCAGTATGTTGTGAAGGCTAACAGGTCATCCAAATATTGGGGGGGGGGGAGGGAGAGGGAGAGGCATAGCGTTCCACAGGACAGGTACTGTCATTGAAAAGGCACAAGTCTAGGATCCAACAAGATGATATTGCTTAATAGAAAAGCACCCAGAACATGCCCTTTTTACTAGATCTGAGGCAGAAACAATAGGAGAAAGGATACTACCTTATGCAATGGAGGGCTTTACAGATGATGATCAATATCTTGAATTGTACCTGAAAGCTTAAGGGGGACTAGTGTAGTTCTCAGAGCAGCTGTGTTTCATAGGCATAACACTAAAGAAAGGAGAAAACCTGCCCATTTCGGATTAGCTGCGGCGTCCAGATACTCTTCAAAGGCAGCCTGATGTACAATCAGGCAAAGAAAAAAGGGTGAGGTATATTAGCTTTATCATATTTTGTTTCATGTGAACAGGACTGATGGTCTCCCATCCACTAATCCCTGTTTATCAGTACTACATAGAAGTAGTCCTCAGGTTACGACCATTCATTCAAGGATATTCAAAGTTACAAAGGCGCTGAATGAAGAGGCATATGACTGGTTTTCAAAGTGCTAGCCATGACAGCGCACTTGGGAACCAGTTTGCATTTATGACCTGTTGCAATGTTCTGCAGTCATGTGATCACCGTTTGTGACCTTCCCTACTAAGCAAAGTCAATGGGGAAGCAGGCAGGGAAGGTTGCAAGTTGATTGCTTAAGTCTCCTCTAATCACAGCCTTTCTTCACTCACTTACACCCACTTCTTGCCCTTCACTTGCATGTACCACACATCCTCTTTCCCTGGCCTCCCTGTGCTCATGCAGATGCACTCAGAATTCTGATTTTAATCTTCTCTGCACTGTAAAGTATTTTTTTTAAAATATAGAAATGTATCTGCATTCCTGATTCTGATGTCTTACACTCACATTTTTGCTGGGCTCAGAACTTGGTTGATCATGTGCCAGTTCCCCTATCAGCAATGAATTCAAATACTTGCTTGGTTGAGCCTTATTCAGATGAAATGCTGTGAATGCATCCTGTGAGAGAAAAGTTATATTAAGCAGAATGAGAAACACAGATTTAAATGAAAATGTGAAAAGTAGTCACAAAAAGGTTAAATTTAAAACAGTGGTATACATTTTCTGATTGCATCCAGAGTTTGAGCGGTAAGCTAGGAGTCATTATTCAAAAATTAGTACACAAAGTTTTGGTTTCATTCATATTAATTTGAATTAAAATGGTATAATCACTGGTATTTAATAATTTTTAATTAATTTTGGCTAAACTTTTCAGAGATCTTCAGAGACTGTATTCAAGGCTTTTGGGGACACATGGATCTCAACTTGTGCACCTCATTCTAAAACACGTCCTGCAGCGAAAGCATACATACATTCACTTTTAAGAAATCCTGACTGTTATGGTCATACATGTTTCAAAAAGGACTTGGAAGAACTGTGTTGGATCTCATTTAGTTTGCCACCATTTATTTAAGCTGGTTTGTTTTTTCCACTCACAAAAATACTAGTAGTTGTTTAAAGAGTCATGCTGACTTAATAAATCACCTCTTTAAAGCAGCCACAACTTTTTTTTAGCTTACACAGAAATCTGAAAATAATAAATCTCTTTTAATGAATTATAAAAAATGCTCTGTAACCACATCTTTCTTACTGTTTTTGCTCCATTACTTGGTATGTATGTGTGTATATTTATATATGTGTGTCTGTATCTAATTTGCTAATTTTAAGAAGTTCAGCCAAATTCTTCTATTGGTCAAATACTTTCCTATAAGCATATGTGATCATGGATCACTTGGACTCAAAAGCAAAAGACACTTTGAGCATACAGGACAGCAGATAGCATCTTTCTGCAATTCTTCCCATTATGCATTTACAATAATCTTTCTCATTATGAAGGTTATTATCAACTATATGTGTAAGATTGAGAGTATCTTGGCGACATTTTGACGAGGTCCCACTCGTCATCTTCAGGCTGGGGTCTTTGGCTTCATGCTTGTGCGAGCAAAGTGTGATCGGAGCTGCCGTCTCTCTCTATATATTGGTAGGGGTGTGTGGAGTGCTGGCTTAGTTGCTGTAGGTGGATTGGTTCGTTGTGTAGGAGCTATTGTTTGTGGATTGTTTGGCTGTTTCGTAACATCCTGAGTAGTTGAGGTGCTGGCTGTGTGCCCATTAGTCTTTTGTGTTGTAACGACTTGGGTAATGGGTTGTGTGATGACATCCTGAGATCTAGTGTAGTGATATCCTGAGTTCTGTATTGCACCATCCTGGCTGGTTGGCTGTGTTGTAACATCCTGAGCTTTGGCATTGTAGCCTCCTGAGTTCTGTGATACGATGTCCAGGGCTGAAGGCTATGAAGTAACATACCGGGCTTTGGTTTGGCTCCAAGTTTGCGGTCTAGCTCTGTGTTCATGGCATGTTCCATTTGCTTTGTGTGGGGGTTGGAGGGAGGTGCAGCAGCTGATGATGTCATTGTGGTTTCGCTTCTGGATGGTGGTTGCATTTCGTCTGAGGGATGGGTTTGGGCTTGGTGAGGGTGAATGGTGGTGGCGTACTGTGTTGTTCTGGGTCCGGTGTCAGTTTTCGTGGCTAGGACTCGTTTGTTGATTAGGGCTAGTTTTCAGATGTCTGGTAGGCGGGAGATATCATCACGTTTATTCATGTTGTGGGGGTGTTTTTCTATTTCGATGGCTTCCATAATTATTCTCTTGTTGTGGTGTTCAGTTTTGGAGATTAGTTTGGTTCCTTCAAAATCAATTTCATGTCCTGTAGCTTTAAGGTGCTGGAAGAGGGAGGAAGTTTTTTTCTTCTTTTCTGACTATGTTCTTGTGTTCTGCGATGCGTGCATTTATTCTCCTGTTAGTTTGTCCAATGTATGTGGCTGGGCAGATTTTGCATGGTATTTCATAGACTCCTTGGTTTTCTAGCTGGATCATGTCTTTGGAGTTTCTTAAGATGTTGGCTATTTTTTGGTCGGTGCCAAAGGCTGTCTTGATATTGTGTTTGTGGAGAATTTTGCTGATTTTATCTGTGGTGCCTTTGATGTAGGGGAGGAGGGCGATGTCGTTGTACTGTTCTATGTCTCGGTCCTTGGGGGGGGTGTTTCCCTTTGGATTAGGTTGGTAATAGTATTTATAACCGCTACTTAAATGCACAATCCCACCACCACCCTGCACAGATCAACTCCGAGGCCAAGACCCTCATCTCCAGAACCAAACGCCTAGCCGACAAAGACCACCTGAAAACTGAATTACACACTCTCACAAACGTATTAATCTCCAACGGATTCCAAAGAAATACTATTACCAACCTAATCCAAAGGGAAACAACCCCCAAGGACACATCAGCACTGTCATGTGAACATCTTGCTGATAAAGTATTTTCTATTAGAATTAAATCACATTGTGCTTTACAATCAAAGTTTCTTCATATAGCCAATACTTATAATTATACTTCTACCTCATGTATCATGTATTAGAAAATTAAAATATGTACTCTATGTAAATTTTAATCAAGCAGTCAAAAATACTTTATTAGTAAAATCTTCAAATGTGATCAAACCAGTCTTGACATTACAAATACTGGGCATCAATCTGGAGCTAAATAATTTAAAAATATTCCCTACAAACATCACACCCTAAGCCTAAGACATCACCTTACCCAAGACCATTTTTAAAATAAAAGTGATAATGGCATCTCTTACATTGTGATCATAAACATTTTTACTAAACCTTACTCCTAGATTTCAATGAATTTCATATTCATTATAGGTGCTGTGAAGCTAGATTCACTTTTTAAAACAGCAATGCTATTTAAAGAGTGATAACAGACTATACATTAAAATAAAAATTATAAAATAGCATTTTAATGAAGAGAGCTGACTCAAATAACTTGTCAAACTTGTCAAACACCAATTAGTAATTAGTTTATATATGAAACAAATTTTGCCAAGATGACACTAATCCTGGCTGGGAGACTATTTAAATAAACTTTTAAAAAGATTATACTGAGAAGGGAGAGATAGTTTAGAAACCACCCAAATTTGCAACTAGGGGGGAAACTGGTATGAAAAGTCCTGGTTATGAAAGCAAAACCACTTGTATCTCATATTCATATTAGTAAAGTTGGAAGGGACCTTGGAGGTCATCTAGTCCAACCCCCTGCTCGGGCAGGAAACCCTACACCATTTTGGACAAGTGGCTGTCCAGTCTCTTCTTAAAAACTTCCAGTGTTGGAGCATTTACTGCTTCTGGAGGCAAGCTGTTCCACTGATTAATTGTTCTCACTGTCAGGAAGTTTCTCCTTAGTTCTAGGTTGCTTCTCTCCTTGATTAGTTTCCACCCGTTGCTTCTTGTCCTGCCTTCAGGTGCTTTGGAAAATAGCTTAATTCCCTCTTCTTTATGGCAGCCCCTGAGATATTGGAATACTGCTATCATGTCCCCCCTTGTCCTTCTCTTCGTTAAACTAGACATACCCAATTCTAGCAACCGTTCCTTATATGTTTTAGCCTCCAGTCCCCTAATCATCTTTGTTGCTCTTCTCTGTACTCTTTCTAGAGTCTCAACATCTTTTTTGCATCGTGGTGACCAAAACTCTCTAAGGAATATTTCTGAGCACTATTCCTCAGTAAGGAACCGTTCCTAAAGGGAGCAACTTTATGAATCCTTGAATTTCCCAGTAAGCTCTGTTTTAATGAGGTCAGGGAGATAATCAAAATTCCTCTTTAAAATTTAAGTTTAATTTAGAAATTGAAAGAAATCTGTAAATTTCTTTAGAAGATAGGCTCAAGATCCAAAAAGATTGTATCAAGATCCCACGAAGTGATAGTACTGCTTTATTAGCATGACCGCACTTAGAATACTGCATCCAGTTCTGATCACCACCATACAGAAAAAATGCTGAGGCTCTAAAAGAGTGCAGGGAAGAGCAACGATGAGAAGGGGGCTGGAGGAAAAAAAACATAGGATGAACGTTTGCAGGAACTATGTACGTCTTCTAATCTAACAAAGAGAAGGATGAGGGATGACACGATAGCAGTCTTGCAATATTTGAGAGGCTGTCAGAAGGGGGGGGGGGGAACAACCTATTCTCCCAAGCACGTGAAGGCAGAAGAAGAAACAATAGATGGAAAGTACTCAAGGAGAGAACCAACCTAGACAAGAAGTAATAAACGGAAACTTATCAGAGAGAGATGTAACCGAGAATCAAAGAGAAATTTCCTGATAGTGAAAGCAACGGAACAGATCTTCCCTTGCTCAACTAGCATTCTGAGACGTAGCTGTACTCACCGTGGCATCCTGCCCAGCGTAGTGGGAAATCACCCTGAAGCCCCCCGGGTGCCGGTTGCAGAAGCTGCTGATGTCGTAGACCTTCCTGTCAATCACAAGCCACTTCTCCTTAAGATGAGGCTGAATCCGTCCCGTGCGCAGACCGATTTCTTCCCACGTGAAAAAACGGCGGGAACTGATTTCGCTCCCGTTCGCCTTTTTCTCTCCCGCTCCAACCTCCACCCCGGTATCCTGCAGCGGAGGAGCCATTTATCCCACAGGGTTAATTCCGCGCTTCTCCAACGGGGAGCTCCTCGACAAAAATCACAATTCCCGGACAAGGCAGCACGAGCAGCTCAGCAACAGAAAGATCGGGCACGCTCAATCAAACCTCCCTCGTTCTGGAACTCTCTCTTCGCCACTTGATTGGTCCGTCAAACTGTTAGGAAACACCATTGGCTCCGGCGCCACTTTTTAGCGCTGGCTCACTTTATACCGCAATGTAATTGAGCCGCCTCCGTACTCCCGCCCCTGGGAAGCGTTCCACCTTGCGAGTCCTCTTGCGTTTCTTCCGCCTCAACTATCAGACTCAGCACTTCTTTTCCTTTCCAGAACCTTTGGAAGAATCATCTTTCCCCATGGTGCAGCACTTATTACATGATTCATTAACAGTCTTTATATACTGTATAGTAATCTTCTTTGAACGGTTTATTTCATCAGGCTGGCACCTTACGTCAAATACATTTTGCTGTGAAAAATGCATGTTGTAGGGTAATAGGTTTAGGGTAATAAGTCTCCCAATGCCCCTGTTTACTGAGTTGTCTTTAGACTGGATGAAACGTAACTCTGTCGGCTATAATAAAAAAAGATGAGGTTTCTCATTCAATCACCATTCTGAGAAGTGAGTAAGAGATAATAGGTATGTTGCAAGAATGCATTAAGGGTTGCCATGCCCAATTTATCTTCCATGATCCTTGGAGTAAGAGTTATATGTAATAAATCCAGTTCATTGTCCCGTAGATGTGCCCAAATTGAGATGCGTTTTTGCCTGCAGGTAGGGAATGAGGAGGCTGTGCCCAGGTGGTGCGGGGGAAGTAATAATTAACATGTAAGGTAACTTCAACATGTGTTGTCCTGAAGTGCTTCCTCTTAAAAAGAGTTTCACTGAATGAAATAGAAAAAAATCTGAGTTTTTAAACTACAGAATCAAGAGTTAGCCCCTTCCATATACACCTATTAGCAGATCTGCCAGTATGGTTGCATAATCCTAGAGGTGCTAGTTCACATGGAGCATATAACTCAAACTGATTAGGCCTCAAAGATTAATGCGGGTAAACTCTTAAAAAACCTCAGCCATTAAACTCATCTGCCATTTCTATGCTTTTCCAGGAAACTCTTAATGTCCAAAAAATAAGTGTTTATTGAAGCACACTTTGGAAACTTTCAATCTAAGAACACCCAATCTTTTATGGTCAGCAAGTACACTGACATTTTGGGATCATGTTGTAACTGCTTAGAGAAAATGGCTACCACTGTTGGCTTGTCATTTACAAAATGGCTGTCACAAAAGGTGTGGCCTTTCATAAAACATCTTTCCACTGTGTACTATACAGTACTGAATGGTAAGTGATGAGATTGCTCGCTGCTGCTCCAGCTTTCCTTTTACTCTTTTCTCTGAACTGATGGGTGTATTTCAAAAACATTTGCTTATACCCAGTTTCCATTTTTATTTTCTCAGAATACCTATTTAGTTGGTCTATGTGGAATCCAAGGCCTCTGAAAAATAGATAACTTTGGAGGCGGTTAAAAATGTAGAATATGACAGAGATTGGGGGGGGGGCACAAAAGAGATGTCTGCACATTAGTGCCTGCAGTGTGTTTGTTGAGGTCCCTATTTAAGGCTAATTTAATACAGCACTCACAGTTTAAAATAGACAACGTTAATAAATATTTTCCAGGCTATTGAGAATATTTACCTGGACTATCTCTCTTTTTCTTGTTTAAAATATAAATATATTAATAGTCAAACTGTTGAGTCCTCAGCTTAATGGCGAATAAGCACAGAACTTCTCGTAGTGTCAAGAAGCCTTTATTGTTGTTTCTTCAGCTCCGTTACAGCTCTGAGGCACGCAGGCCTCTCTGCTTCTTTTAAGAACGCTTCCCCGGACTGAATGGCAGCATTTGGCGTGCTCCGCACGTCTCGCATGGGTGCGAAACCGGCGCCAGCCAGTCTGGTCCCAGGCAGCTTGCAACTGCCCGGGACCATTGTAATGTCCCGAGCCTGCCTTTGTAGGCTCAGGACACAACACCCCTTCCCCCCCAGCTAATAAACTATATGAATAGTTACACGCGACCTCAACACGAGCGTGGTGTGTCAACCCATGCTCCCAATGGTACCGGGCAAATTGTTCTGGGGATTAATACCCAATGCCCGTATTTCCATTGTTCCCAACAACAGACACCCTCTCACTGTTTCTGCTTTGCCAGCAGAGTTACAAAGTCTTCAAGGTACTTAGGAGATCTCTTGACTCTCTGTGATCTCCTTAGACCCTGATAATCTCCAATTTCATTTTGCCCAGAGGATGACATGAAGTTGCCCCCTCTTTCAGACCCTGGTGGTCCCCATGGACCGTGCCCCGTTGCCTGGTCTGCTTGCTTGCCCACCGGGCTCGTCAGACCAGGACTTTGTTCTCCCAATAACCTGGTTGACCTGCCTAATTACAGGCTCTCTGGCCCCTCTATAAAACTGCCACTGTTAGGCAACTCTGTGGAGCCTCCCAGGCCCACACTGGACCTATCAAGGGGCTGCATTCCTTCGCTTCCCAGTCCCGTAAAGGGACTGTCTGGGGTTTCAGTATTTCCCCAAAACTCAGTTGCCCCCCCCATCTGTGCCGGAGGTGTCAGAATTGGGATTTGCCTCTCCAACCACCTCCCTGTGTGAATGCTTCCTTCTGGAAACAGCAGCAGTACTGGGCCAACTAGACTGTTTATGTGCCAGCTCTCTTGCAATGTTTGAGTTATTAGGATGCTCCCAGTTATTCTCCCTGACTGGAGTACTAAATGGTATTGGTGAATGATGAGTATGCCCCCTGGGTGACACCCTGGCTGGAGTAGGCACTGGTGCCTGTGTGCTTCCTAGTTCCCATGGATTCCTGTTTGGAACACTTGCGGAACCTTGGAATAGGCCGTCTGTGGCCTCTCTGTTTGGGCCCGACTGCTACCAACACTCAACCCTTTGCCCATTGTGGTCCCCCTCCCCCCCTGGAAAAGACTCAGGAGTTTCTGAGGGTAAGTCCAGTCTTGTACGCAGCTGGTCGATATGCCGCCGAAGGATACGACCGTCATCCAACGAGACCTCGTATGACAAAGGACCAGTAACCTTGCATACTACAGCAGGAACCCACAAGTGACTTGGCCTGTAATTACAGGTCCATACCGGGGCACCCACTTGCAGAGACCTCGGTGCCTTGGGTTGTGTAGCCTTAGGAGGCAGTCTGTCCGGGTGCAACCGGTCAAGTTTAGTTCAGCTGGGCTTTTCCCAGTAGAAGTTGAAGGTGTGGTGCGGTACGCAAGAAGAAAGTCTGCCAACCTGTGGTGCCAGTCCCCGTCGGTCAGTTTCTTTAAAGCATCCTTGGTGCTGCGGACCATCCGTTCAGCCATACCGTTGGTGGAAGGGTGGAAAGGTGCAGAGGTGGCATGACGAATCATGTTGGCCTGTAAGAAAGCTTGGAATTCGGAACAGGTGAATTGAGGGCCATTGTCAGACACCAAAACATCCGGAAGCCCATGTGCAGCAAAAATCCCCCTCAGTACATGAATGATCTCGGCAGCAGTGGTTGAAGAGACAGGTACAACCTCAAGCCACTTTGAATAGCTATCAACAATGACCAAGAAGAATTGACCCTGAAAGGGCCCAGCGTAATCAATGTGCACCCTAGACCAAGGTGACTGTGTGTCCTCCCATCTATGTACAGGAGCCTGGGGCATTTCTAGGTGTGAGCACTGACAAAGGTGGCATGCATGCACCTTAGCTTCAATTTCCTTGTCTAACCCAGACCACCACAAATGGCTGCGCGCAGGCGCCTTCATTCTTACAATGCCAGGATGGCCCTCATGAAGGGAACCTAAGACCCTAGATCTCATTGAGGTAGGAATAACAACTCTGCTGCCCCACAGCAGACAACCCTGAAAAGTGGATAATTCATGTTTCTTAAGCCAGAAGCTCTGAAACTCAATACCTGGACAACTCTCTGGCCATCCAGACAAAACCCAGGATAATACACGAGAGAGTGTGAGATCTGTGGCTGACTCAGCAGCCACATCCCTGGCATTTGAAGGTGACTCAGGCAACGCCTGAATGGAAAGGATGTTGACTGCAGGGGCAGGATCAGCCTCCACTACTTGTAAGGGTAATCTACTGAGGCCATCAGCATGGCCCATTTCTTTGCCAGGTTTGTGAACTAAAGAAAAATCATAGGCTGACAGAAAGATGGACCATCTCAGCATCCTGGGGGAGATGATATGGGGGGTTTGTTTGTTTGTAGTAAACAACCCCAACAAAGGCTTATGGTCAGTGTAGACCATGAAATGTCTGCCATATAAAAAATCATGGAATTTTTTAATTCCAGCAACAACAGCTAAGGCCTCCCTGTCTATCTGGGTGTAGTTTCGCTCAGCAGAAGACAAGGTTCTGGAGTAATAGGCAACAGGAACCTGAGTTCCATCTTCCATAAGGGGAGGCATCACAAGCGATGCACACAGGAAGAGTTTCATTAAAATGTGCAAGCACATTATTGGATGTAAGTAAGGCCTTAACCTCATTGAAGCTTGCTTCATGTGCTTGTGACCACTGCCACACTGCCTGTTTGTCCAGAAGCCTATGAAGTGGTTCAGCTGCATTAGCTTTGTTAGGAATGAAAGCATTATAGAAATTCAAGAGGCCCAGAAAAGCTTGTAGTTCAGTTTTGGACTTAGGCCTAGGAGCTTGCATAATAGCCTTTAGTTTAGACTCAGCAGGATGAATGCCAGTGGCATCAATTTTGATACCCCTCAAGGTATTTTCCATTACGCTTTGGAAAATTCCAAGAGCCACATTTACTCCAAATTGTAGTCTTTTGACTTTGAATGCCCCCCCCTGTGTGTTACAATGGTTTGTGCTACAGCAGCAGCTTCATCAACAGGTAACTGTTGATAAGCTTGTGCTAAATCTAGCTTTGCAAAAACACGCCCCCCCTTGAGGGAGGCCAGAATGTGGCTGACTACAGGTACAGGATATGCATGTTGTTGCAATGCCTTGTTTAGAGTGCGTTTGTAATCTGCACAGATGCGAATGTCCCCATTAGCCTTAAGAGGCGTTATTATGGGGGTTTCCCAAGGACTGGAGTCAACATGTTCTAAGACTCCTTGCTGAATCAATTTGTCCAATTCAGCATCAATTTTTCCTTTTAAAGCAAAAGGTACTCTCCTTGCTTTT